TTCCTTCCTTCCTTCCTTCCTTTCTTCCTTCCAGTAGAATCCTCTGCAACTTCCTTTTTTCTTTGTTTCTTTTTAACTTTGTGATGATTTACAAACAATTTTCTCGCACCTGGTGATTTTTCCACCTAGAGAAAAACCACAGACAAACCCGGCTTCTGGATCCCAGTCTTTGGTGAGAGCCTCTCATTTGAGAAACCTGTAACTGGCCACTGGCCCTGCCCAGACACAAGGAGTCAGAGAGTAGAAATTCAAAGATCGGCTCCATCTAGGCCAAGAGGGTGGGATTAGCTGCTTCCTCACATCTTAGCAAGTGCAAAAGTGGATGTCAGCAGACACAGGAAGCCCTCATTGTTTGAAGATGTCCACAAAAATCTAGAAAAGTAGGAAACAAACCCGGGCTGTGTGTGTGCAGGTGATGTGCGTGGGCACTTGTCTGCGGTGTCAGAGCTTTTGTTCAGTAAGAACTGCTGTGGTTCCTGTCTGAACAAGCAGACTGAGATGGTGAGCTTCCGATGGGTCCCTGCAGTGGAGCTGAGTATGGAGCACAAAGCGAGAGCTAGGAATCAGATCTCTTTGAAGTAACCTTGCATTTGGAAACATTCAGATGTGATGGAGACTGAAGCCCATACCACAACCTTTGGACTTATCTGGTCATGATGATGATAATAATGGTGACAATACCATTTACCACATACCAGCCAAGCTCTGTTCTCAGCATTTTATATCATTTAGTACTTCCAGCAACCCTTTGAGGTGGTACTCTTGCCATTTTCCTACAATATAGGTGAGAAAAGTGAAGTACAGAAAAACTTGCCCAAACTCAGGACCAAGCTCAGGATTGGTAGAGAAGGGAAAAGGTAGAAACTGCCCCATTTTGTTCCCCAATCCAGGTTGGAAATAGATCTACTTAAAGGTTGAACCCACTAACAATTTATAACTGGAAGTTATTACAGTGCGTAGTAATTTGTAACTAGAAGTCTTTCAGTTTTACAATGTGAAGTATAACCGCAAATGGATTGGAATCTCTTGCTCATCACTCAGCAGATTCTCAGCTTGGGAGACAGAAGTTGTTTTGGAAATAACTTTGAACATGGCTTGGGCTTCGGTGTCAGAGCAGAAGGGATTTGGCCTCTCTGTAGCAGAGACCTTCCTTCTCCCCTCCTACCCCCCTCATCCTGCAAGGCCATCCTTTTGAGTTCACAAACAGTGCAGCAGGTGTTTGAGTTTTAGAAAGGCATTGCTAAAGAGGTTCTTTCCTCCCAAGTGTATGTTTTTCTTGAGCACGTGTGTTGCTAGTGTTAATTTCTAATGCTTCTTTGAATATATTTTTGTTAGTTTTATTCAGAAGAAATTCTGCTTGACTTTCTTGGACTAGCTTATTTCCCATAGCCATTCTGGCATCTCCCACATCCTGTGACTTTTTACCCCTGTCCATCTTCTGTGTCAGTATAGAATGCTAACTTTCCTTTCTGAGGAAGCATGTGGCTGTCACTTTGCCCTTTAGGACAGCATCTTATAGGAATCTACCTGGTCCACCCAGTAATGGGTGGAGTCTTCCTCCTGGTGAGGCAGGGAATATTCAGTAGCAGAGGAGAAGAGTATGTTGGGTGTTTCTGTTTTAGTGCCCCCATTGTGTGAAGCTGACAGTTCCTCTTCAGAAGGCCCGCTAAAGCAGACCCATTGGGAGGGAGGAGTGTTGGAGATGGGGAGGGTAAAGGGAGACAGGCGACAAGGAGTCCAGAACCAAAGGAGATGTTGGCAGAGAGAGGATATGAACATGGTTAGCTGCTTTTCACCTATAAGGCGCTGTCCATTTTACTTATTAATGTAAGTTCTATTGAATTTTGTGAACAGTGTTTTTAAATTTTTATCTTCCTTCGTTATAAAAAAATGTAGACTTTTCAGTTAAAATTTAAAAATCCAAACATGAGCCCTGGCTGGATAGCTCATTTGGTTAGAGCATTATCCAAAATGTCAAGGTAGCGGGTTCAATCCTCATCAAGGCACGTATAAGATGCAATCAATGAGTGCATAAATAAGTGGGACAAGAAATTGATATTTCTCTCTCTCTTTTTTCTCCCCTTCCTCTCTCTTCATCTTGGTGTCTCTCTCTCTCTCTCTCTCTCTCTCTCTCTCAAATCAACAAAATAAAAAATAAAATAAAACGCAAACATGATGGAAATGTTAGAGTGAAAAATTCCCAAAACCTCCTATCCTGAGATAACCATTGTCAGCAAATTTTCCTGTAGACTTTTTCCCATTTGAATTCTAAACTGTAATCTTCCCATTGATTTTATTAATACCAACTTACTGTGTTTGTGATGCAAGTGTCTGTGAATTGTTTTCTAGCTTAGAAATGGCACCAACATACTGCAGTGAGGCAGGGGCCCTGTGTAAAGTGCACACAACCTTCCTTCTGGAGTTCTTAGTTCAATGTGTAGGGGGCCTGGGAGCCTGCGTTTCCAGCATGCTTCCAGGAGATGCCTGGCTTCTGCTTGACAGGCCCCGGTTTGAGCAGCACAGGACTGAGTCCTACACCTCCAGGCTACGCATGTGCATGTCAGTGAGCTGAAAACGCCCTGGCCAGTCTCATAGCTGCATTCGTAGCTCATTCTGTAGTTGTAGGCAGCCATCCAGAACCATCAACAATATGGAGTCCTGAGGAATAAAAGGTCCAGTGTCATCAGTAGCTTTGATGAAGCATTTTGTGTACTCTCAAGTTGATGGGCATGGCCTGTGCTTAGGGAAAGGGTAACCCCACAGTGTGAGTGTTGCTTTAAGGAAACAAAAAGCACAGAGCAAAAGAAGCATGGTCCATCAGGAACTGCCATTTTCTTTGGAGTCAGTGTCTTATTTGTGGTGTTGAGTGGTCTTCTGTATGCACATATGTGTAATCTTATTCCCAAACCACTTTTTTTTTTATTGTTCATCTTAACTTGTGTTACGAAAGCATATTTCTGGGGTGATGAAAATATTCTAAAGTTAGATTGTGGTGATGGTTAAAAAACTCTACATATGCTAAAATCCTTGAGTTGTACACTTTAAAAGGGTGAATTTTATGGCACATTGATGATCCCAGTAAAGCTGTTTTTAAAAAGACAAAAACTACACTTAAACAAATATTCACCATTAAATCCAAATCTAGAAAATCCTGTCCCCGAGTGCCTGAGCTTGCCTTAAAGAACCCACCTCCCCTGCCTTTCTGTCTGTCTCCTCCGTGAACACTAGATGCTCTAGTTGCTCTTGTTTCACTTGTAAATTCACAAATGCATTAATGATGACTGGAAAAATCACATTTTGGTGAGAATGTGGAGGCTGGTGGCCTGTGGATCCCAAATGATTCCAGTTCCTGCCTAATTCAGAGCTCACTGAGGGCTGCACCTATGTACCATCGATGGCTGGGTGGGGAGGGTCAGAATGGAGTCCTGTGTGTGTGACGGGATGGCTGCTGTGTATATCTGAATTTGAAGCTTGAGATGGCTAGAGCAGTGAAGAGAGTCTCAAAATCAATATTTAAATATTACTTTTAAAGTTTTTTCTTCTTTTAAGAGTGCTCATTGCAGAATATTTACAACAGTATTCTTAGGTTTTGTTCCATCATCAAGACTCATTAGAAATGCATTTTCCTCAGCCCTGTCTTAGACCTTGAATTAAGTTGGAGCCCAGGAATCTGCCTTTTTAAGAAGCCCCCCCCCCCAGCCCCACCCAGATAGTTCATAAGCATGTTAAACTTTTAGAAAATATATAAAAAAGAAAAAAACGAACTCTTCTAATTACCTCTCTTAAAGGTGACCACTTTTGGGGCTAATTCTTTTTAGCAGTTTTACCCACCTGGGAGTGTCTGTCTTTATGTGTTTTTACAAATTTTATTTATATAGTACTTATAGTTTTGTACCTGTTTTACCCTCTGTTTAACATTATATCCTGAGCATTTTCCCATGTCATTAAATATCCTCCAGAAACATGATAATTAAACATTTAATTTTCGGTTTGTTTTACCCTCTATCATTTTAAAAAGCTCGGCCCAGGCCAGGACAGGGATAAGTGACCACCTTATTTCTTGCTGGACCCTGTCTTGTAAATTAGAGATGGGTTCCAATGTGGTGAAATTCAGTCTTTATTCTACATTGGAAAGTAATGTAATGGGTGTCTCCTTAGTTTCATATGCAGATAATTTAATAGCCGACTCATAACTTAGGGACAGTTCTGTTTAGCATTTCTAGAAAGTGTTCCATTTTTACTTTTGCCTTAAAGTGAATCTGTGTAAACCACAGTCTTGTCTGCATGTCTGGACCCATTCCTACTTTTGACATCAAGGCAGGGTCATCTCTGGCAGATTCCTATTTTTTTACACAGTAGTGGTCTTTTGTGCTTAATTTTAACTTGGATTTTTAACCATTAAAAGATAATTTTCATACATTTTAAATATCTTTAGTGTTATGTGTTTTATTGGGTCTACAATTTGACAATTATCACCTACAAAATGATTGCATGGGTTCACTTCCTTTAAACAACAGTAATCATGATCACAGTGTTTATCGATCTTATTACCTTTCCATCTTCAGCTCAAAAGATGTGCCAGTCAGAAATAAACATAGTTATCTGCAAAACACATAGAAGAGAAAGCCCTCTGTTCCCTAGACCTAGATTATTTGGCGTATGGTCAATTAGGAAGTTTCAGGAAAGAAAGATGTGAATCATTTTGGTGGCATTTTCTGGCTAGACTTGAGGAGGAATCACTTGCAGAGCGTAATGACATGCCCGTCTCTTTCTTTTGTGACAGATGCCAGAGATGCAGAACAGTTGAGCAGGAACAAGGTGACCCACATCCTATCTGTCCATGATAGTGCCAGACCCATGTTAGAGGTAAGAGCGTGTGCTGAGGTGCAAGGTACACCCGTGCGCTCCTGTGGTTGCTGTTGTGCTTCTGGGACTTACATCCACAACCTGCCTATGGAATGTGGAGGGTGTGTTGTTCCCATTGTCTCCTGCTACATTGCGGGCTTGGCTTTCTTGACTATGTACCAAAGATAAGCTAATGCTGTACTGATTTCCCTCTGGGTGTTAAGGACATTTCAGACCCATTCCATCCCTTTTAAAATTATCTCCAATTTTAGAATTCAAAAGAATCTGGGCTGCTCATTTCCTAGTTGTTGTTTTTTCCTCACTTAAGCTCAATTATGTACCATTTGCATTTGGGAATAAAAGATAATGGGAGATAAGTCATCACTGGAGATTTTCGAAGGCTCCTCTGGTACAGAGGCTGTCAGTGTAGAAGCTGTTGTGTATTCGATTTTCAAGTAAACAAGGTGTGTCTGCCTGTACATTAATTCCCAAACCATCTTCAATGGACTGTTTGAACTGTTGTCCAGGAGCCAAATCTGTTTCTCTCCATTAGCCTTGGCAGAGCCCAAGTTACCCCTTTTTAGGAAAGTAATGCATGTGTGGTTGTAATGTGTATTGTGTTTTTCTGTTGTAGGGTAGGGTTTTGGAGAAAATGGGGTGATTTGTTCTGAAAGAAATAATCCTAGTTCAAGCTGTTTTCATTTAAATTCATATTATACAAGAATAGATCATACACTTTTATTGTTAATCTATTTTCCTTAGCCATTAGAGCTGCCAGATTAGAGTTAGTGTAAAACAAATGAGGACATAGAGGAAGAAGTGATTCTGTCAAAAGTTGTACAGAAAACTGTAGATGGTAAGCAGCTTGGACCACTTCTTGAGATCTGTGAGCTGGCACTTCTGTTTCAGCTCATACTTCTTGTTAAGGTGCTGTAATTTGTGTTGCAGTAAGATTTCATTGAAAAACACAACAACAATAGCACACCATTTTGGGGGAACATAACAGTTCCATTTTTTCATCTATTAATGACAGTTTGTATTTGAAGCATAGCCAGGGTATGGCCACCATCATAAGTTAAACATAAACAGTCATGATTGATTTTCTCTTAAATCATAACATGAGACTTGAGGTTTCCTTTATTTAATGAATGACATAGATGTCCTTCACTCCTCACCCTCCAACCCCACCTCTTGACTTGATACTCCATTTAGCGGAGCACGTTGTCCTTGTCCTGTATGAACATGGCCCTTGACCTGTCCCATTGTAGCTCCTGCTAGATAAAAGATCTGCAAGTGTTAGAAGTAAAGGATCTTCAGCCCCAATCTGCCCAACCTCTCATTGTATACACAGGGAAATGAAGGGCTAAAAAGTGAAACAGGTGGGATTGTAGCCCAGTGTAGAGACCACTGTTTGCCTAAAACCCTCAGAGCTGTGGACAACTGTGTTCCCATCAATAATATACTGCATATTTCTTTTTAGTCCCTATATATCTCAGTCTAACTTCACAAGTAATTCATGAATACATTCATAAAAAAATAGAACAATAGCCTCTCTGATGTAACAATTGAATTAACATGCTCACATTAAGTTATTGGAATAGAGGAGATTCACCGGGCAGGGATCAGACGGTTCAGACCTTTGGTTAGCCCCTGCCTGATGCCCATGGCAGCTTCTGTCTTAAATTACAGCTCTTGTTCCAGAAGCCGCACTCTTCACCAGCCCCGGCTAGCTCAGGGATATTAACTTGTTTGGAGTAGGTATGGAATTAATAGATAGATTTGATTCTTTTTAAAAAATATATATTTTATGGATTTTTTACAGAGAGGAAGGGAGAAGGATAGAGAGTTAGAAACATCAAGATGAGAGAGAAACACAGATCAGCTGCCTCCTGCACACCCCCTTCTGAGGATGGGAGTGCAACCAAGGCACATGCCCTTGGCTGGAATTGAACCTAGGACCTTTCAGTCCACAGGCCGATGCTCTATCCACTGAGCCAAACCGGTTAGGGCTAGATTTGATTCTTGAGCAGCCCTATGTTTTACTGGTCCTGATCCCCAGAGTGAAATAAGAACAGAGATGAAGGTGAAAGGGCAGATTGTATGCAGGGCCGAGCAGCTGCTGTGAGTTTCTCCAGCCTGATGAGGGGCCCTAATAGAGAGTGGAGGGGAAAGAATGAGAGAAAGGCGCTGGACCTGCTTCATTTTCTAAGAGCTTCAAAGCCGTGCATGTTTATCTTGTGATCCCTGACTTACTCTGGGTAGCACTAGTCTGAGGCGGGGCTGGAAGAGGGAGGTAGTAGTTACTATCTAAAATAGAAAGGTTTCAGCCCTGTTGCTTCCACACAGGAGTTCCGTGAGTCCTGTCTGTGGATTGGGCAGTGCACTTTGGGTCATTTCCAATGAATATCTGAGTGGGTTTAAAACACTGGATGCTTAGCATCAATTAGCAATGGAATTTTGAATCTTTAGGTCTGTTCTAAGTGAGAAAGGGCAGTCATATTGTTCAGCAAGGTTTCTAAAACAGAAGTCAGAAGTCAGAGGCTTCCTGAAGAGGTCTGGTCAAAGGATAGGCTGTCAGACATTAGGCCTGGAATGTGATGCTTTGCAAAAAATAAATAAGTTTAGGGAATTTAACACCCCTCTGGAAGATTCACGGTTGTGTTGACAGAAAAACGGTCCCAGGTTCTGCATTGAAGGTACACAGTAGCCAGTCTATCTGAGCAGGGCCCTGATACCATCTGTGGAACTATGTTCTGCTGAATATGGTCATGGGGATCCAGAGTCAGGAGGACCTTGGAAAGTGCCCGTGGCCCTACGAGTCTGGGCGAGTCTCCAGGGCAAGAGGGTGTTCAGAGGAATGCTCAAACACTTGAGTAGCCAAGAGGACTAGAAGAGGTGGTGCCAAACCTGATCTCGTTATTAATGGAGGCTGCCGGAGAATGGGTTTTTGTGACATCTTGGTATAGAAGAGATAGGCAAAATGGAAGATTGCACACTTTTTGTGCCTGTTGTAGCCTCTTACGTGTAATCTGTTGCAATACCTGGTCAATAATGGTACTATAAAGTATACCCACCAGGAAAGAACTCATGAATATGCTGATGACATCCTTAGTTATTATGCACTTATTGATTTTATTTAGGAAAGACTCTAAGGAACTTGGTTGATTTTAGTTAGATTAGATCTGATTTTTCATTATTTGGATAATTGGGGGGTTTTCCAACATGGCATTAGCAGTGTCTCCCACTCTTCCTAGCAACCTGATATGTGGAAGAAAATGAAAGACGCGGTTCTCGACCTCTAGAGCGGCTGGGCCTACCCTGGTCCTGGAGTGCAGCAACTTGTCTCTGGTGTTTCTGTGCTGGATGAGATAAAGTTCTTCATCCTCTGAACCAGGAAGCCAGATGGTCAGCTAAGGGGAAGAGGTCTGAGGCTTCAATTATTATCTCTTCCGAAGATTATCTGAGGAATAGATCTTCTGGAATAAAGACTCTTAGAAACTTGGGCACCTTCATACTCACTTGAGTCAGCCCTAAACTAACAGGAGATGCTGAAGAGCTCTGGCTCCCATTTTCATGCCTGCTGCACAGGGTCCTGGAGATGACCTACTTGATCCCATCACTGCGAGCAGGAAGCTGAAGTTCAGAGGTGTGCAGGGACTTGTTCTTGATCCCACAGCTGGTGTATGGCTTTGTGGAAACCTGGACCTTCTCTCGGGTTTTCCAGTGTGCTTCCCTGCTGTGGTTCTCTGGTGCCCCTGACTTTGCCAACAGTATTGGTAGATGTTGCCACATCAGCTTGGGGAAGGGTTGTACCATTTGTGTCTTGATTAACAGTGTATGAAAGTGTGTTTCCCCAGACTACCACCACCACCGAGTTTTATTCTTCTTTACTTTTAATTAGCAATATTTTTGTTTTTTATTATTGCCTCAAGTGCCTTCTCACACTGTTGAGTCTTTTGTTTAGACCAGCCGTGGGCAAACTACGGCCTGCGGGCCGGATCCTGCCCGTTTGAAATGAATAAAACTATTGAAAAAAAAGACCGTACCCTTTTATGTAATGATGTTTACTTTGAATTTATATTAGTTCACACAAACACTCCATCCATGCTTTTGTTCCGGCCCTCCAGTCCAGTTTAAGAACCCATTGTGGCCCTCGAGTCAAAAAGTTTGCCCACCCCTGGTCTAGACATTGAAGGCAGGGAGTTAATGATGTATTTATTTCTTGAGCTTCTACTACATACCAGCCCCAGGATAGGTGTGGGAGATAACAGAAATAAATCTCAGTATCTGCCCTGGTGAAGCCCTTAATGTATAAAGAGGATATGTATTATGGTTATTTTATAAATATATATATATATAATATATCCCTAATATGCAAATAGACTGAATGGCAGAAAACCAAACAACCGGTCGCTATGACATGTGCTGACCATCAGGGGGTGTGCGTGGAACATGGCAGGTGTTGGCCAAGGTGGGATGGTGAGCAGAGGAGCCAGACCAAGGCGGGCGCCAGTCACTGTCATCGGGGTGAGCCTCTGGTGGTTATTGAAAATTCTTTGCTCCCGCACACCACAGTTCTGCCCAGTGCTCACTCGTGCTTCCGGCGCTGGAGCCACCGCTTGCACCCACTGCCAGTGCCAGAGCAGGCCCCAATCGCTCGGCACCATCAGCAGGTGCGAGCGGCAGCTGCCAGCTCCTATCACCCCTCAAGGCTTCTCCACCTCCCCCTGTTCCTAAGGGGCTATCGGGGCTGGTAGCTGCCTCTCTCACCTGCTGCAGGTACCAGCGCCACCACTCGCACCCACTGCTGATGCTGGCCCCGGTTGCATCCCTAGCTGGCGCCGGAGCTGCTGCTCGCACCCACTGCCAGTGCCTGGCGCCGGTCCTGATTGCTTGGCGCTGTCAGCAGGTGCGAGTGGTAGCTGCCAGCCCCGATCATCCCTGAGGGCTTCTCCACCTCCCTCTGTTTCTGAGGGGCAATCAGGGCAGCAGCCACTGCTCATACATGCCGATGATGCCGG